CAAATTCTCGCTCCACCTTCATTTTTGATGAAATACAGATGAACACCATATTTGACAAAGCTGACATACCATGGCAAGTACGTAACGCACGGGAATGGTCATGATACATTCAGAAAAACAAACATACAGATAGCAGCTCACCTTGATAAATGGCAGTCTTTTATTATTGGAATAGTTTTACTGTTTAATGGCTACGGAGCCCTCAACATTACAAGACACTGCCGAACCCTTACGCCTACGGAACCATCCACAACACAACAGACTATACAGGATTTCTAAATGGAAAGCTGATCCAAAGTTGCATTTTCAACAACATGCAACACCACTTTGGGTTTGTTGCAGGTGTTCTTCTTGTGTCCGCCAACACCGCAGTTTGAGCATTTTGCCTCCTTCCTTTCTTTGCGAGGAAGATCACCCCTGTGTGGACATGTGTAGTACTCATGTGACCTGCCCCATGGCATATACTGCAGAAACGAGTACGTTTGCTTGTCCCACAACCATCAGGAGCTTTTCCATATGGCGCTTGCTTGCATTTTTTGCTCTTTGCGCCTCGGTCATCATACGGAGGCTTGTCCCAGCAGGTAGTTGGTCGGCCTGGTTTACGCTTTCGTTCTGGAGGCTTTAAGCTGATGAAATTCCCAACTGCACTACCTTCGGCATCACTCTCTCTGTGACTTTCTGCTGGATGTGCTGGAATCGGCTCTTTTTCTTTCCCCTTATCTGAATGCATTATGTCTTCAAGCCCCATCCCGTCACGCACGCTAGCCATGGACGTCAGTGTATCCATTGCTCTCTTCAGTATATCCATTGCACATTCATATGTCGATGTGTTGGCATCACCAAGCCGGACAACTTCAAGGGCATGAGTGTATAGATCCGAGGGTCTGAATGTTATTGAGTTGAGACTAATCTTATCTTTCTGAAGGTGTGCCAGATGTTCTGGCAACACATCCCTTGCATCCTTTGTCCAGCGTTTGAGAATGTGCTTGCTGGTATCTGATCCATTCCAAGGACATCAAGGACCTACACAGCAACATTTCACAAGTGTTTTTATATTGTTAGCTGTGCTCAAGCGACAATAACCTTGTGTTTCTTGCTGCACACAGAACCAATGAGAATCAAGAAGAAAGAAAACAAAGATACTATACTTTCATGGATGTGGTTCACTGGTAAATTATACTACCGAGCGATGTATTGTGAGAATGCAAGCTAGAAAACCAAATGAAGAATTTCAAAATATAAATTTGTACTCAGGCACACTTGTTAGCAAGGTTTGTGGATGCTTGCCACCCATCACGCGGACAAACTCAGTGAAAATCCATTCAAATGTTTCCACTGTCTCATCCCTCACTAAAACTCCTCCAAATATGACTCTCTGGAAATGATTGTTGACTCCGACGAACAGACCGAATGGCGTATCATACATGTTTGTACGGTATGTTGTATCAAAAGTTATTGCATCTCCAAGGTAATGGTATTTTGCCCTGCTTGCGCCTGTCGACCATAGCAGATTTCGTATGCGGCTGTCCGCATCCCGTTGTACTCTGTATACAACCCAGAATCTTTGGATACCAACTCAGCAAAAACTTTCTGACGTCATCGTCTGCCTGATCTCGGCTAATCTCTCCACAAAGCCCCCTCAAAGCTCTCTTGCGGAAAGGCACATTGCTCATGGAGCCAAAGAAACTGCCAATTATGTTGTACACTTTGCCAATGCTAATATTATTTTCACGCAACTGCTTGATAACATCTCGTGTGTAAATGTCGATATGTCTATGCGAGGGGCAGTATATTTTTTGTCCACACTTATCTGTCAGAGAGTGATTGTGGAGTGTCCTGTGCTCGTTGATGTACCACCCGTTGTCCTTTGAGCGTAGCAACCTTATCATTGATGGGCATCTACATCGGCAAGACCGTGTGTTACTTCTTTTTGGTACACCCTGCAATTTTTTTTTGTCGCAACCAACAATACATGAGTTAACAGAGAATTCTATTTTTCTGTATATAAGAACATTGGCAGAGTATGTTCATGGCTGGAATTGGAAAGAATTACTAACTGAGCAGCCGCAAACTATTTCTTGCATACATTTTGTTCTCTCGACATTTAATCTGCTTTTTTCCATATCTAACTCCGAACCTAATTTCCCAAGAATATAGATTGTAGTAGTTGTATACTTATGCAAGGGAATCAAAGTTGTCTCTGACAGTAGGGATAACAACAGTTTCCCTCTTCTTTTCTGCATAGCATCTTAGTGTTTTTTCAAGTGCGCTTATTTTGCCAACTCAGGGGGGCAGTTCAAGAGGTACTCGGCCAACACGGACTCTGTGTGAACAAAAGATGAGTCACTATTGTGCAAATCAAAATCTTTTTGCACAAACAATTAGCCATGGCACATGAAATTTTGCAACAGCTAGTAAGAGTAATTCATTTTTCATTCAGAGCCATGCGATTTTCTGTAGTTTTTTTTGGGGGGGAATGAAGAGTGTTTTCTTTTTAGTAATACATCAGTTGATACCTCTTTCTCCAGCCAGGGGCTTGAGGATCGTTTTTGCCTTCTGACTGCTTTGAGGTTGACGCCGACAAGCTGAGGCCTTCGCAGTTTCTGTTCAAATCTAGCTGCACCGTCATCACAGCGTCGCCTACATCAGCAATGCTCGACTGGGCGGCTGTGCAGGCGAGAGTTTTGGTGGCTACAATGCCCAGTATAGCCTTGCCGCCACCAAGATCCAGCAAGGGAAACCTTGAAAAGGAGCCGCAACAACATCAAGTTAGCCGTCAAAACGGAAGCGGACAGTAATAGAAGGCGGAAATCATGAAATACTGAAGGTATCTGTCGACGGGATCTGACAAGAACTCGAAGTCGCCGCCTCCGGCATCCGTCGTCGCCATTGCTCTCTTTTCCAGTTTGGTGTGGGTGGGGGGTGGACCAAGTGATAAGTGTCCCGGGCGGTGGGGTAGGTGGAGAAGCGACGCAGACAAGGATCCGGGGCGCACCACATAGGCATTTGAGTACCTCGCAAACACCGGGCAAGCGATGTGTACCAGTACTCGTTCAATCGGAACAGGTAGCAACCGGCCGTGACGGGATCGTTATATCTGCCGGCGAGCGCACCGTATACTCCTGTTCCACCATACGTACATGTGGGTTGGCCCTCCGACCGCATTGAATGCCCGGTTCCACTCGCCAGTGTTCGATTGGGACACTTAGCGTGAGCAGGCGAGCCCGTGTGCACCATCGCCGCTCTCCGTATTCTATCAAGTACTCTATCAAACCAGTTTCCCTGGTGACCGATCGAGTTCTGCACATCCATGGCCGACGTCGAGAACCCCAACTCCAATGGTGGACTCGCCGCGGTGGCAGAGCCCAGCCGAAACGCGTTCTCGGCATGGAGCGATAGGCTGATCGAAATCATCATCGGAATCCCCAACGGCGCGGCGGACGCTGAGGTCGCAGTAGCAGAGCCAGCCAAGCGAGGCAGATGGAGAATCTTATGCTTCTGGGGCGCGATCGGCCTCTTCTGGGCAACTGTCGGTGTGATTCTTCTGGTGATCCAAGACGAATGGCCGATGGGCCAAGCGCGGCGACACGCTGCAGTTGTTGGAGGATTTTTGGCAGGCATGGTCGTGAATCTCGCCTTAGCCTTCCTTGCAGAGCTTGAAGAGGCACGAATAATCATAGATCTACTCCTCTAAATTTTATCCTTTCCCATTCATGTATCGTGCGTCATGTTGTAGCCAACAGTATGTGCATCTCTGCTGTCTCTCAAGCATTTCAGGCCACTCGAAAACGATTCTTTTAACACATTGTTAATGTTAGAATAAATCTGGGGTATACCGTCGATCATTCGAGCACCAAGTAATCACACGAGCACGACACCGAGATTTGTTAACGAGGTTCACCGATATGGCTATATCCCCGGGGCTTGACTACGGGCGCTCCTCCCCGTGACACCGTCACAATACCGCACACCGGCCATCCGGACGCCGGCACACGTCGCCGGCTCCCCCTTGCGCGCTTGTGCTATTATGTTGGCATAGGTTACATTGTGTGTCTACCCCCGCTATATATGAGAGGCCTAAGATGTTAGATAATCTTGTCTAGGTTTGCGTTGTAGCAGTACATGTCCTGTGTAGAGTCCTAGTAGTAGTTAGCTTCGGCTGAGTTAGTAGTAGTCAAATTAGTAGTCCGTGTATTGCTAGGATGTGGTAACCGTGTTAGCTGGAGTGCCTTGAGTATTTGACGAAAAACTACCACATTATAAGTATCCATCCCACTGAACTATCATATTCAAAAAAGTAACAGATAACTACCGAAAATTTCTAATTTTATGACTAAAAACTACCACTTTTGAATAATGGCCAGTTTAGAGATTTTAAACATGTTTATGACATGTGTAACCCACCTGTCAGGGCTGACGTGGCGGCAAAGTCAACTCCGTTTATTTTGACCATTAAATTGACCGTTATGACAGGCAGGCCCCACATGTCAGCATCAACCTCCTCCATCTCTCTCTCTCTTTGACATTTTCTCGAACACATCATATGCATGGAAACAGGGGAGCTCCAGGGACGAGCCGCCGCCACAGCCGTCAGAGCCTGGCTCGGCCGGCCGACGCCGGCCGCCAGCAGCACCGCCGGTGTGCCCATGACGTGGCCGCGCTAGCCATCAAGGGCCGCTCCGCGCACTTCAACTTTCTCAGAACCCGAGGCACACCGGCGGCGGCCG